GCTTCATCTGTGATCTTGGAAATGATCATTTGGGATTGATGTTTCTGTGAAAATCAGTTTGGGAGGATTGTTTTGAAGTTTTTCATCTAGGAAACCAGATAGCAATTAGATATAGAATTGAGGGGTTTTTTTCTCCAACAAAACCATTAAAAACATTCCAGTGAACATTTCTTCATAGGTTAAAACGTTTCTGGCAAGCTGCGGCCAGCCTGCTCCCCTTGGACAGCGATATGAGAGCCTGGATGTTACAGTGTGGAGCTCATGGGGCAGGCAGCATCCAGCCTTGTTCCCATCACCTGGCTGCCAGGTTGGACAAAGCCTGTGGCTGTGTGGTGCCCGTAGCCAGCTCCAGGCTTTGACTGGGTGAGAGCTGACCACACTGCTGTGGGAGACCTGAAATCACGCAGCTGGAATCTAAACCCTGAGGCTGATTGTAAACCCCTGCCCCGAGTCTCCAGAGAGTCAGTTTCGTGCCATCAAACAAGACCTGTCTGCTTGTGCTGGGATGACGCTCCAGGCATTAAGACGCCAGGCAGCTGTACATTCAATTTTGGAGACGCAGACTTTGATTAAATCCAGAATTTACAAAATAAAATCAAAAGGAATGGGAGTCTAGGGGGAAAGGCACAAACAAGGAGAAATATCAGTAAGCTGTGAACCAGCAGAACTGGACTTTCCAGCTCCTCTCTTGGAGTTTCAGCAGGGCTAACTTCATTAAAAGAACTAAAAGACACAGGACTCGATAGAGAAGCATCTCCATCTGCTCTGAGAGCCATGCTCCTCTGGAGCTCTGCAAATGCTAACAGATACATACTGTGATCTGCACTTTCATCAGCTGGAGTACTTTCTAAGGACCTTGGCTGGCTAGCAGCATTCTCTCACAGAGGTTTAACAGATGCTCCTTCTGCACCCCAAACCCATACAGAACTGGCTAGTGTTATACTTCATCTACTAGATGTAATTTTCCAACTTCAAAGCTTATACTTTTATGAAATATGAATGCATGTTCAATTTCTCCTTCATTTCACCTTCCTGAGGGCCACTGATGGTGCTTAAAATGTGCCTCCACTCTGTATGAGTGTGTGCGTATGCGCTGGATTTTTACCAATGATGTGGATGAAAGAGGCAAACCAGCCTTGTTCTCTGTGGCTTTCTGTAACAGGCTGGGCTGCAGGCATCCAGATCCCCAGATCGCTGCCCAGTGCACTGGCATGCAAATCACTGCCGGAGCAGGGGTTGCTCTTCTCTTGCCGAACCCCAGTGCTGTCTCTCAGTACTCCTGCTCTCCTGGCATTGGGGATTATTTTTTTCTTTGGTCGGTTTTAGTTTTATAAGTTTATAAGCCATTTTATTCTTTTGGGCCAAGACACTATATTCAGTACAGAGAATCAAGATATTTCTACATTTAAACTCCATTGCAGCAACATGGTCGTATTGACTCCAGTTACCGACGACAGCATTGTTTAATGGCTCCAGTACAAATAGAGGTCCAGGCACAGACTTTGGAGTTGGTTGCAACCATAGAGTCACCTTTTCATTCTGGAAGTGATGAATGGTTTAGGCACGGTAGGCAGGAAAATAAAACCTGTCACTGGAAGACAGATGAGGGCAGCATTTCCCTGTAATATCAGGACATGAGTGTTCCTCTCCGAATAAGTTTTCATCTTATGTTAGCTGTTAGTGTCTAAGCTCCTTCTAGAGGAGCCTTGCCAAATGTTTGGGGGCCACGTTGCTTGTGAAGTATGCAGAATGTATAAGAAAAAAACAGAGGTAGTCTTTGCAACTCTGAGAACTCATTTATGTTGAAGAAGTTTTCTCCCCTTTTCTAATGGTTTCTTTAGCATTGCTTGCTTTTTTTAAAAAAATAATTGTGTACAGTGAATGGTGTATTTGCTGTTTCCCTGTTTTTTTAAAGGGAGGAATGACCACAGTAGCCAATGGGCAACTGTGCTGATGAAATGAAAGTGCCACAGAAGTGGGCAAAGGTCCTGTTACTGTGTTTTTCCCATGCTGATGCTGTTGCCTCTTTCTCTGTTGATGTCTTCCTTGTGTCATGACCAGGCCGAGGATGATATTTAACTGTCAGGACAGTCTGGGATGTCTCCAGCTGATACTGTTGGTCATGGAAGGCTTTCCCTAAAGAGCCAACTCTGGCCCTTGCACCTATCACCAGCGTATGCAGACCACAGGGCAGATCCCCTATTATTCTTGGGGTGTTTAGGGTTCAGTTCACTCCTCTGGGCCACACAGGAGCCACGGCATTCCCACAGCCGAGGTTACTCTGTGAGACCAAGCCAGCATCTCACTGATCTCACTGATCATCTCTCATCTCACTGCAGTGCAGCAATGGATGAGTTCATATTTTACCTTTTGGACTTCTAGCTGGAAGTTGGATTCTCTGTCCTGCTTAGCATGCGGCAGCGCTGAGCCGGCACTCCTCCCGCTTGTCCAGAGCGCTAAGATTCGTTAGCCTGCATTTATCAGCTTTTGCCATGAAATGGTGAATAATGAGGCCCAGTTCAGGTAATGAAATGATCTCCCTCTCACATCTGATTACATTGCTGCTTATTATTTCTTCAGTGTGTAATTTTGCTTCCCTGGAAACTTGTTTTGTAAACACTAATGACTGTGCAGTTATAGCCCAAAGTTAAACCAGCCCAGCAGCGCTGCAGAAGCCTGGTGAGCCGTGTGGCCTGGCTGTTTGTGTTACCACGTGTGCTTCATTAGGTAATGTGAGGATGGAGACAGCCCCTGCCCCTTGGCTGGAAGATACAAGGAACAGCACCAGGAAAGGTGCAGCCCTTGGCATCCATCATGAGCAGCTTATACCCTTTGTTCAGGTATCAGTGCTGTGATTTAGCCTAACTGCCCTTCTTCTCTGGCATTGAGTTTCTCAGAGAGATATCTACCATGATCCCTCTTCATTTGTAATTTGTTAGGCAAGAAAGGGACATATTCCTCTCATTTCTTCCTTTATTCCTTTTCTTCTTGAGTAACTTTCTTGAGTAACCAGAGCAGTGCAAGCTATTCCAGACGTCTTATATGAGAATAACAAAACTGTTTTCTCTCTACTGGAATGACTTTGCTTCTACATCTTCAAATTTCATCTGCTTTTTCCATGGCAGCATCTGCTTGGCAGCCTGGAGTCACCCTAAGTTAAACAAATGCAGCCAGAAATCCTCATCCTTAGCCCCAAAGAAATGACCTTGCACTGTGTGTTCTTTGTCCCATTTCTACAATACAAGCCCTTGAGGTCATCCAGTTTTCCTATATGATCTTCTCACCAACCTCTGGGTGAAGTTGGTGACACCATCCCCACTTTAGCCACTTCCTTCTCCAACTTATCTTTTTTTTTTTAAGATTCTCCGGTTCCCCTAGCATAGTATTTGTACCCGTGGGAGATGTTTTACTGAAGTCTAAGCAAATGAGAGCTGCCCACCTGATGTGGATAGCACACTGGAAACATGTCGTATATCTATGATAAGCTCTATTCTTGAACACATTCCTCTTTCAGTAAGACAGGTCTGTGCAATGGCTTTGTGTTTCCATGACATGCATACTCCAGAAAATGCAGGACAGCTTTGTGTTATTGTTGAAGAAGTAAAGTCCTGCTTATGTAGGATGTAATTTCTTTTTCTGCAGCTCCTCGCCCCCCTGTAATCATTATATTCACTATATATCTTCTCAAGTTTCTCATTTCCCTCCGCCTCGTTATTTCTTTACCATATTCTGTAGGAGCACCAGTAACTGCCTGGGACTCCCTTGTGCAAGGCACTGTTCAAACAAGGAGCAGAGGAGTCACCAGCCCAAGTCTAAGCCCTACAGCGGCATGCATGAGCCAGTCCCTAAGAGTGCAGGCAGATGTAGCCAGTGGTTTGAACAAGGCACCAAGACAACGGTTTCACCAATACACCTAAACCACTACGCAGCCCTGTGTGACAGGAGATTTTCCCTCTCCTGCCCGCTCCGTGCTGCACTTGGGGAACTGTGCATCTTTTAGGAGATGCATTTCCCTGATGGTCCCTTTGGTCACATAAAAACTCCTGGGAGTAAATCTCATCCTTTGGGTAGGCTGTGTCTCACCCAGGAGTGTTTGGAAGGGTTTTATGGTCTCTTTAGAGGGATTGTCAAGACACAGTTCATAAATTTGAGGAGGCACCTGGCCCTGTTATGGACTACTGTGGTGTGCATTGCTGGGACAAACTGTCCCCAGGGTAGTGCCTCCCCCTGTGTTACCAAGATACATTTGCTCCTGTATTGATTGCATACATATTCAGCCAGTCACTAGAAAAGGAAATTTGACCCCACAGTGCAGGGGCTTGTAACGATCTCGGCAGGTTTATTGGCCTGATCGATGGTACATGACTTCTCTGCAGGAGCTGAAAAAAAAAAAAGTCAGTCATCCTTATATTAAAACAAGTGTGGGGAAAAGACATTTCCACAAAGAATTGTTCAACCTTTTAAAATTAGGTTTCTTTTTTCCCTAAACTATTGACTAATGGACTGAAAAATTTCTAAATGTGTCTGTTTTTGAAGACAATGCCATTTTTCTCAGGAAAGAAAATCATTAAGTGACAAGTGAACAACGAGTCTGTCCTTGTCAGTGTGTTTCTCAGGCTTAGCTGGGGAAACAGGTGTGGAAAAAGTTTAAATTAAATTGTTCTCCAAACTCTGAGTCAAAATGTAAATTGTTAGGATTGTGATGGTTTTGTTTTCCTTTCAGGGTTTTGCACATTTTTGCTCTATGGTCCAATTGTGTGTTATTCCAGAAATTAGAGGCCTGGTGCAAAGCTCATCGATGCATTAATTTTCTTGGTTGCAAAAGCTGCAATTTCATCACAACACCCTGAACACCTTGGAGGATTTCCCGTGGGTCCTGGGATCTTTGCTGCTTGCATCTGGCTGCTCCTCCATAATGAAACTGGACTTAGGCAGCCACCCCACGTTCCAGCCTACCGGTAGGTGGCTGCTGCGTGTGCCACCCCTGTGCTGGAGGTGACATGCCATTTCATTGCCTCTGTATGATCATCCCAAACCCTGGGAAAGGTCATACCAGGGCTTTGCCAGAGCAATGAATAACTTCTGTTTTGCTGCCGTGAGCTTTGTCCTTCTGACACCAGCTGTTCTAAACCCTGTGCTTTGTACCCAGGCCACCTCAGACCCATCCCAAGACCCTTTTTAGTATTTGTTTGCAGAGGTTAGCGACTCTAGGTCCAGCTCACAAGCTCCACTGAATTTGGCTCCTATTAAGACAATTCATAACTGCATTCCTGTGTCCAACAAATATTCTATTGCATCTTAGCTAAAAACCTGGAGCCGGTGGAAGGGAATGAAGCAAGGGTGGCTTATGGGTCTTCTTGGCTACAGCAGTGCCCCTTGTTTGCAGGCATTTCCATTATCATCAGGAGAGGTAGGAGTGGGTTCTCATGCTGTTCCAGAGTTGAACACACCTTAAGCAGCAAAACACCTAAGCTGTTAATTGGGGTTTAACTCCCTTAAGAATAAATGTGCTTAATGGCAGAGAAGATGAATCTTCCTAGATAAGGATCATTTGGAGATCCTCATCCTTGCAACATTGGGCACTTCTGCTCAGACTCGACACTCTTGGGGCCAAATCCTGCTCATTCTTGTGTTAGTGGCAGACATAGAGAACAGCTCAGATCTGTTTCACCTGAGGGGAAATGACTGCTCCTGTTGTAGAAAATACCAAGTGTGTTACATCAATTACCTTTCCCTGTTAAGAGACTGATGCCAAAAGGCTCATATGGTATAAATTAGGCAAGATTTACCAGAGTCAGTGGAGTTTGTGGGTTTGTTTTTGTTTTTTTTTTTTTTAGGTAGTGTGGCTTAGTGTCTTATTTATGGTTGCTAGGCAAGATTTTTCAAATGGTAGTGATACTACCAAATTTGGAGGAATAGGGGCAATATTGGTAGAAAATGCAGGACCTTTCGGTAACTGGATAGGGGAATCCTGATTTTATTTTTTTTAGAGCAAAGCTGGTTTAACACAGAAAGAGGGGAGGGACTCCTTCCTTGTCACTGCTCTCTTTTAGCAGATGCCTTGTTTTATTGATAACACTCAAGATTATCAAAAAATGAATCGAAGTGTCCTGAAGTGATTAAAGCCTCATGCTGGTGCTTGTTTTCTGAGTGTTGGTTTTGCTGTAAGATGCTGTGACTGTTCCCTTGATTCAACTTGGCCACAGTGAGAAATAGTTAAGAAGCTTTTAGTTTCTTGGGATTTGCATTTGAATTTCCTTAGGGTAGACGATTTCCTAAAATGGGGATGATGTGACTGACCTGGTGGAGAGAACTGAAGCCCTGGGAGTGCTGTGCCCTGGAGACCCTGGAGAGGAGCGATGGGTTCTTGGGCTGGGAGTCTGCAGGTGAGTGAGATATTTCAAAGCAGTTCATTGCTCTTGCTGTGTCAAATTGCGCTGCTGGAGAATACGCAGTTTCATGGAGGAATATTTCTTGACTCACTTAGAATTTCATGAGTCATAAGCCCATCCAGGATTGCTTGTTTATCTCATTTAGGAACCAAGACAAAGCTCTGCTGCATATTTAATTAAATGGAGGGAAGGAAAAGAATTTTAAGATAAGATTATCTTCTGCTCCTTGTCATGGCCCTCATGTAAAAAGTTTGCATGGCATGCAAAACAGAGCCTGATGGTAAGCCATTTGGTTTTGAGGACACTGCACATGAAAACAGCTTTAGAGTAATACTTTTTTTGGTTGAATACTCCTATGAACTCTTTTGTGTATATGACTAAAAAAATTTGTTGTGTGATCTTATGAAAATTAATGAGGAGATGTAAAAAGATATGTGGGAACCTGGGGCTTCTGGAGGAATAAACTCTTCCATTCCTGTGGCTGTTGAAAGCAGGAAAAGAAGAACAGGTGAAGAGAATCCGAGTCCAAGTTTCTCATTGCTATAATAGGCTGACAATAACCAGAACTAAGGTACTGGGAATGACAGTATAAAGTCAGTCAGAAATCAAAGAGCACTGGATTTTATATAGTGGCCTTTCAGTTCCAGTTCTGCAAAGGGTTTTGTGTACATTTAGGGAGGGGAGGATGACTGGCTGCTAGTTCTTGCTGCGGAGTCAGCTGCAAGAGCAGAGTCCAAGCTGGCAGAAGGGGTGTGAAGATGATGCAGAACCGGGATGGAGTCCGGTGAGGTTTTGCGTTTAGTTTTCCATCTTCAGTGTTGGCACCAGTGTGCAGCAAGTGTTACAACTACATATCACTCTCACACAGAAAACAAAAATGACAAGAGTCTGCACCAGCTGCGAACCATCCTCTGCTCTCTCTGAGCTAGTCTGCTCCTTTGTAACTCAAAAATCTTCAGATCTGTGCTCTCCCCTTGCAGCGAGGGTCAGAGGAAGCCTGGGGGATGTCTGTACAGCTAGTCAGTGTGTGAGTTGTCATCTGCGCTGTCCAGGGCTTGCTGAGGAGCTGGGGTCCCGCTCTCCTCCTGGCAGAAGGACGAGAAGATTATGCTTTAAGCCTAGTTTTGCTAATTCTGCATCTCTGAACAAGTTGTTACTGGTATACAATAAACTCCCTGTCTGTGAGCTTAATGGTCATGAAATAATAGTTGCACTTTGCTAATGAGTCACTGATGGGTATCAAGTGATGGCTTGGTGAGAGGAGTGAATGGATGAGCCTCATGGGGCTGTTTTGTAACCTGGGCGGGGGGGGGGGGGGGGGGGCGTGACGGGGGGGGGCACAAAACAT